TGAGAATGGAAGAGAAAGACGGAGCGGAATGACAGTGCGAGGAGATGATCGCACGAGAAGATGGTTGGAAAGAGAAGACTAGAGGGTGAAAGAGATGTTATTGCGTAGAAAGAGCAAACGCGAGAGGGAGGACAGGGGGTAGGGAGAGACAGGGTGAACCTGCGACCGTGATCTTTAAGGGTAGGGGTTGGCGCGTGTGGAGAGTGCGTTTTTTCCCTAAGGAGATGAAGGAGAAGGTAGGAGATCACCCAGTCTCAGGGTGAAGGAGGGTGAAAGGGGGGATAAACGGAAGAGATTGTGCGGTGCGTTTCGCATGATTCGAAAGTTGGACAAAGGGTCGATCGCGGCTTCTTAGAAATCGCGAAATTGCACAGCAAGGTCGAGAAAGGAAATTATGGAATTCAGAGAAAATATTTTGCACTCCTTGATCTCTCCACAATTAGCGTTGTTCACTTCGATCGCGTCCTCGACAGGACTGCTTTCACTCCGCAATGCACACGTATACATTTGTTATTTAATGCCTGCTGAATATATCTCTTGCTTTGGCGATATTGACAGTTCCACGTATGCTACTGGCGAGCTTTTTGCAAAAGTTCGCCGCGGTTGTCAATATTTCAAAAGCGGTCGATATAAATTGCGCGGCGATTCGTCGCGTTCAGAGAGTCTTCTTGCGCGAAAGAGTAATGTAACGTCGCGTAAATGTATACAAGTACTTGGGTGCAAAAAAATGAATGCGAAAGCCTCAGTTAAAATCAACAGTGAACGTTGCTTCTAATAAATATTTAATCAATTAACTGATTTTACCGAGAACATCCTAAGAAATCAATCAAGTGTTTCTTTTCTCTTGTAAATTTTGTAGTCCATTTTCTAGTCCATTTTTATTTATTAAGAAAATTCGTTGCAATTTCTTAAGTTTTCAGGAATATTGGTTAAAATGAAAAAGATTCATCACGTTCCAGAATTTAGTAATAATTCAGATTTAAATAAAGAATAAAAATCTTTTTGTTACTTTGAATATCCTCTTCAGATTGCTATTTTTTTGCACGTTAAATCTTCTTTATGTCGCTAATTTTGCAATTTATGTGAAAAATGTAGACTACATTTTTTTCTTTTTAAACAGCCATGGTAACTTTCGTTTCTTTTGTTATTTTCTCTAATTGTCAAGATCTAGATTTCGAAAATTCCAAATTCCACTCAAAAACAATTCTATTATACAGTCTGAAAGTGAATTTTTTTTTCAAACGAATGTTAGTTTTTTTTATTTAAGAAGATGAAATTGTGGAATTTTTAAGAGAAGAAATTATGTAGATTAATACTATCTCTTAGTTTTTATTATAATAATTATATATAAATATCGTTTATTCAAGATTATCAATGTTTGATAGACTTAAATAAAACTAAAAAAAATCAGTCTTACTTTTTATCTTAAAGTAATTTATCTTAAGATGTAATTTTATCTTCAGGTACATAAATAATAGATGGTTAATATTTTTTATAATAAGTTATTTACGATGTTTTAAGATGTTGATAGCAACGAGCAATTTAATTGTATCTATATTTATTTGAAGCTGTGATAATTATTTTAGTTTCAATTTACGATTGCATTCAAATCCAACAGTAAATGACGTGCAATTTATATAACTAAAAGGTATATTTAAAATTTACATATAAAAATATTATTAAGCATTAATATTTAGCCTCAACTATATTGACTCTTTCCTTTCATTCATTTGATTTATTTATGTGATGTAGATTGATTTATTATAAAAATTAGTTCAATCGTACATGTTAAGTAATATGCTTTTACGAAAAAAGTACATAAATGCATTTGAAGAAAAACGCAATCTCTTTTCATCATAACGTGGAAGAACGGAAAGGATTACAGAATACCATTTCGTTTTATTTTCCTCTGTCAATGCGCATTCAATTAATAAAATCTAAAGCCCATATTCATACCTTACTTTCACCAATAAATGCTCGCATTTTTTTCTCAGATTCTTTATATAAATATATATATATATATATATCTATGTGTGTGTGTGCGTGTGTGTGTGTGTGTGTGTGTGTGTGATTTACGATGTCTTAACAATCGACTGCTGCTATCCTTTTTATCTAGTGCATCTTACACAATGCATTGTCAAGATAAGGTGGAAGCAAACATGATTATCGTATCAAGAGCAAAGAATGCAATAGAGTTCAATAGACAAAGAAAACTGACTCGTGCTATGATAACGGTACGCTCGGGGGCCACACCAGCTCCCGCTTTCCCACTATTTCTTCGACAAAACCGGAATCGGCTACGATAACCCCCGCGGGGGTCGTTTCGCAGGGCGGAGGGAAGAGGAAGGGTAGGAGAGGTGGCGAGAGTGCGCGCGTGCAATCGTGCTCGCTCTTCCGTCTCACCTGCTTGCGCACGCCGGGCGCGCATAGCGCGTGCCTGTAGCCGAGAACTCACGACAGTCGCCATACACACGCACATTCGGCGTGGCGGCGATAAAAAAGTAGAAGAATGCCTGTCGGATCCCGGTGCGTATACTGGGTGTCACGCATGCACGCGCGAACGAGCCTTCGTGGCACACGCATACGGCCACATGTCGTACCGTATTGCCATCACACTAACACGCGCACATATACACACGTGATACGGATACGTACACGTGGGTACAAGGATGGTGCGAGCGGTGCGAGCGGTGCGAGCACTCCACCCTGTCAGCCGCCTGTCGTCGCCGTGAAGACAAGGATGGAGATTCGAACGAGCGAGAGAGCGAGAGAAAATGGGAAGGATGAGAGAATGGCGACGTCGAACGGGAGAGAGAAACAGATGATAAAAAAAAGAACCGAATGCACAGGGGTGCGGGATCTGGGGCGATTGTCGAATTAGTGAGTCGGCCGATCCACAAGAGGCTCCTTTCCGTGTTACCAAAAATATCTCTGCTTTTTTTCGCCTTTTCCTTTTGATCTTACGCGTTTATCTGCGTTTGCAGATGCGTTAGGACCGGAATAGGCGCAGATCGAATTTAATTGAATTTTACCCAATGACGTTTTTACAATGATTCGACGGTTATCATCGCTCGAGTATGTTTTTTATCAAGTATGACAGTTCGAAGACAGTTTTAACTATTTTAAAATCGATATAGAATTGCGCTATACGTATATAGGCAGACGATACTCCCGATTTTTGGATCGTGTCGAGCGAACAATCGATCGAGTGACTATCAGAAGATCTCTTTTTGTTCGATGAATATCAGGTTTTGGGATTTTTTCGGACGAAGGGTGGCGAAGGGGCGGAACGCCCGAAGTGAGTACCGCAACACGAAAGTATTTCCGCATACAAACCTGACAAAATATTATGAAAAACTACTATGGCAAACAACTGAGCTCTGTATAATTCGCGAGGATCTCGAAGTGATAAAAAAAAGGATAAAAAGAAGAATTATCTCATTGCTCAGTTTATTTATATTGAAGTATTCATTACCATGAATACTTCAAAATTTAGGAACGCATTGAATTTTTATATATTATCTAATTTGTTCAAACATCGTAACATCTTGATTATCGAAACTTCATGAAGAAAGGTCAATAGGTTATATTTTTTGTTTATTTTTTCCATTTTATAGTGACACTGTTTTTTTAATAGTATTATTATTTTATATATATTATATTTTTTTATAAAAATGTACAATATTTTATGTATTTTAGTAATAATGCTAATTAATATTAAAAAATATTTAACAGTATTAAATAATGTATAAAATAATATTTTATATATTTTTTAATTAAGTTAGAAACAAATTTTTTAAATAGTTTTACAAACACTTTTACAAAAAAAGAGAAAATGTTTAATAAATAGTGTAGTATTAATAGTGTATTATTTATTAGTGTAATTAATAGTGTAGTATTTAAAAAATTTTTTGTATTGTGCGCTTTTTATCAAACTAAAAGAATAATAATTTAAAATTATAAGCTATATTCATATTATTGATTTCGATGCTCTCGATTTTCTAACTTGGAAATAACTTACTTTTCACGAAACAATTCATGAACTTTTCGTGAACAGATTTCAACAACTATTTATCTCTATTAAAATCTCACAATAGGCACCTTATTAGGGTTATTATTATAACTTAACCCTTAACCGTAAATAAAGAAATAGATTATTGCTTGACAGGTCA